CAGAAACCCAAAGAAATAATAATTATAACAAACAGCAATAATACCATCAACACTATTTAATTATCTAATTAAAACCACCACTCTTATCAGTGCCAATGTAATTAATACCATCTTAAATAACACTATACTATTATTTTGTTATCAATTCTATAATTACATTATTACAATCAATACAGATATTATGTATTATCATTATAAATAACAAAATTACAATCACTAATATCTACATAACATCACTAATGCCTACATAACATCACTATCACTATTATGATGATTTTTGTCATTATTGTTATTGTTTTTGCAACTACTTTTATAATCATTATAATACTATTTTCTTTACCATTGAGCTAACTATATGAACGATACTACCACTAATATCACTCAATCACATTTATTGTAACCATTCTCCACCATAATATTATCATTGTTATTGAGAATACTAGATGCTTTAAAATATATATGATTAAAAACTTTAATTGAAATTTTAGTGACTCCCCCACCCTGATTAATTATAATCATCATCATTATCTCATCGCAATCATTATCATAACATCTGTTGCATTGAAAGATAATTTTGCCTATTTTGATTCAAACTTATTCTTGTTTGTAATTACAAATTTCCTATACTTATTAAAGAATAAAAAAGAAAAAAAATTATCTTAATGTTTTTTATAAATGAATTTGTAGTTCAAAAATTTACTTTAAAATTTGTATTTCTAAAACTGTAATCAAATAAAAAATACTACAGTATCTATTTGTATTTGACTTACAATCAATAATTTCTCTTACACTATATCCAATGGAGATTTGTACAATACCAAGTTGTGCCGATGGCAGAGAATGTATATACCATAAGTGGGTCATTTGTAATTGCTAACAAAGGTCAAAGTCATTTATATCTCATTAGAAAAGATAAAATAAAGTGACTTTGTATTTCATATTTATCTATTCTTGATTGCAACAACTTTATCATCCAAGGTTTTTTTCTTTATATATAAATTATAATTGTTGTCATTGCCAATGTGACTAAGCAGAATACTATTTTTAATATATCTATTCTTATTGAGTTTACATTTTATTATTAAAATAAAGAAAAAACATAAGATTAAATATTTATTGAACTTCATCAGTGTTATCAGCAACATTATCATAATTGTCAAAATCATTGTTCCTTTTATAGATACCATCAAAACCATCCATACATCTATCATCAAATGCCACTATCATCATCACTAGCATAGAATTAAAGCATCAACATTAGTATCACTAAAATCCCAGTCAACAACATCATAATCATATCACTCAAGATGTATATAAATATATATATATATGTATATAAATGAATTAAATAATTAAAAAATAGACAACCTTAAGTTTCCATGACTATAATTTATTTCCCCAGAAAATATATTTTTCCTGGTTCATCAGGTCACATCTCTCTCTCTCTCTCTCTCTCTCTCTCTCTCTCTCTCTCTCTCTCTATCTCAACCTATATATATATATATATATATATATATATATATATATATATATATATATTATATAATCATATATATATATATAATCACATATATATATATATAATCATATATATATATATATAATCACATATATATATATATATATTATATATATAATCATCATCTTCATTACAATAAAATATATATACTATGTATATATAATCATCATCATCTTCATCAAAAAAAAATTGTCTTTAAAACCACCATCATTGTCATTAATATTTTCACACCATTACAAGTAACTTATCAGCATCACAACCAAAAATTTAATGTTATCATCCACTATATATTAAATCATGATTTTAATGACACTTTAAAAAGATGCCACCATCCACTATTATCTTCAGTAATTTCATTGCCCCCACCACCACCACCACCAACAACAACAACAACAGCACTTAATCGTCTTTTAATCAAGGCAACAAACAGATGAAATTATCACATGCATTCAGAATTATACAAAATAAAACAATTTCCTGTCAATTATAAAATCTACTGACATAAGAATGAACAGTGATTATTTTATTATAGAAAAATTAAATGATGATAATAATTATAAAAAGAAAAAAACTCAAAATAAAATCATGGTATTTATACTTTCTTTTGTTCTTTCGTTCATCTTGTAGCAGGCAAATATAGTTGCAGCATCAAAATGAATTTCTGGTAGCATAGCAACGGCATGAGTTGGCATCATCCTTCATCCCAGCAGCCTGATTTTTAGGTTAAACGCTTTCCTGGATTATCTCCCTTATTAACTTTCATTTTTCATTTTTATTTTTTGCCTGGAAATAATGTACAGAAAACTTCATTCTTGTTTTGTTTTTAATTTCATTCTATGTATATATATATATATATATATATATATCTTGCAAGTTACTTTCTCTCAATTTATATATATATATATATATATATATATATATATATATATATCTTGCAAAGTTACTTTCTCTCAATTTATATATATATATATATATATATATATATATATATATGTGTGTATGCTCATTTTTAATCTTATTTTATATATATATATATATATATATATATATATATATATATATATATATATAATAGCTTAAAAATGAACATATGTGCATATATATTATATATGTACGTATATTAATTCTTAAGCTGTTTCTTCATTTTCACTTTGTATGATTTAAGCAAAAGAAATGATTAAATATTGATGCAAAAATTAAAATATTAAAAAATGTACTGTCAGTAAAATCTGTAATAATTTAAGTGTTTGAAAGTTTGTTTTTTTTACCCAATGTTAAATCCATCCCTTATAGAATAATGTCCAAAATTAATACACAATAAAGAGAACTAGTTGTTTAATATATAAAGAAATTTAATTTTCTCCCAAAATATTTGAGTTTAAACTTTTAGATTAAAAGAATGTTTTATAAGTACAACATTAATACCATTTAAGAGTATAACAGTAGTACAGGATCTTAATATGATCAATAAGTAACAGTACTCCTACTGGTTAATTATATTGACATTCTTGATAAATCTTTAACCATTTTACAAAATATGATTTAAAATTAAATTGTTTGTTATTTTTCTTTCTTTTCTTCTTTAAAAAAAGATTGGTAGCGATTTGATTTTTCTGGTAGAAATTTAAAAATTAAATCAACTGGATGATTAAATGTTCTGAAAACAAACAACATATTAATGCAAATAAAAGTATTCTAATTCTAATTTTCTTAAAACAAACCAAACTAATTAAATATTATTTTAAATTTATTTTCAATGATGAATACACATTCCAAAAACTTTTGATTTTTTAAAACTTACAAATTAATCTTGTTATTAAATAAGAATTAATCCATATTCAAATTATTGTCTTCTGAGTAGTTTTCTTTAATCTAGTGTACTGATGAAAGAAATAAAATAACAAATTAACTAAATTTGAAATGTTCCAGATTGCAAGCTTAAAAGCGACGTATGTTTTGTTTTAAATACTGAAGATTTAATTTTTTATTGAATGTATTTTTTTTTAAATATTTTAATGTTCACTGAAGAATTTCCAGATTAAAATACACCTGGATATATAAAGAAATGCCAAGTATTCTTTTGAAAACAGTTATAAAAGTTGCTACATTTAATTTAATTTAAATTTTGTTTTATTTTAAAATTTAAATATGTTTGGTAGATCATCTTATAAGTAAAATATTAATTAAATGGGTGCATAGGATTTATATTTTTCAATAATGTTTAAATTTGTAAGAATTTCTGAAAACTTAAACATTTTTATAAATTACTTTTATACAGTTTTACAACATAAGAGTAAAGAAGTTTTGTAATTGAACAAATTAAGCAAAACCTTAACTTTATGTACTCGTTAATTGTTAATAATAAACGTTTTAAAACATATGATAAATAGTTAAACAACTTTATTTGATAATTTTTCAGGTTCCTAAACTAACCTATAAGTATATTCATTTGACTAGATTTCACAAATTGTTTTGGATCTCATTGCATTTACTTTTTATTCGAACGGAATATTTTTCAAAATTCGTAAAAGGAAATTTGCTATTTGATGTTTTAAACACATAAAAAAATCTAACCATAAAATAACTTCATAATAACTTCCTAAACAAACTAGTTTTAGCACAACCTTAGTCTAAGATGACAACCCAAAATTAACTTATAATTAAAAACCTAAAGTTTAGAGCATCTGTATAATGCTATATTTAATAGCAGTTAGTAATTGTTTCATTCATTGTTAATTTCTATTTTCGTGTTGCATATCATTTTTTATTTTAAAAAAATAGAATGACAGTTGCTCTTCAATTGACTATAAAAGATTTTCTCTAACAAACTGGTAACAGTCAAGTAAGTCACTAAGAATCAAAAAGTGATACTGCACTGCGATGTCATTAATAAATAATAATATGCCAATACATATAATAATCACAAAAGTTTTCACAGAAAATATAAATGTTGAAAAAAAAATTGAGCAGCCGACGACATTGGTTTTCGTCATTCGTTGGTCACGTGGAGAATACGTCATTTTTTTTAGGGAACCCTTGCACAATCACAATAATAATAATTATTATTATTTTTATTAAATGAAAAATATAATTGTATAAAAAAAGAGATATAATAAAAATGAAAATATTTTTTAAATGATGGATTAAAAAAAAAATAGATATTAAAAAGGGGTCGTGTTCTATAGTAGCAGTTTCATATTTTCTTCTTCTTCTTTATCCTCCTCCTCCTCCTCCTCAATTTCTTCGTTATTGCGATTGGAAGGTTTCCTCCAACAACCTAGTTAATAAACCCCACCCGAACTCTGTCGCAGTCATCAGATAAGTGAGCTACGAGCAAACAGGCCACCACTACTGCAGTCACTACTATCCAATATATAATAGTTTTTCTTAGAGGCTACTAAATCAAATCATCTCTACTAGTTGTGCTGGGACGAAAGACTCCAGTGATTCACTTTGTTGCTTCATTTCAAAAGTGACAATTATGACTTCCACGGAAATTAGACAAGGTTACAACGAAAGCAAGCCCTCTTCAAGGTAAAAACAAAAAAAATTAAGTAAATGCAACTTAATAATTTTTAATTTCCGTCTTTCTTTTTTTCTTTTATAAAAATATAGAAACAAAAATATATTAAATCTTTGATTGCTTCTCTTTATTGCCATCAAACTCATACCGCATAAGTTACTTATTTCCTTTATTTTTTTTATTTTTATCATTTGCACGTATTTGTATTTAAATATTTATTTAGGTTTCCTCTACGTGTGTAAAACAATGGAATGCTTAATTTAGGTCTGAAGTTGTCTTATTTTCTTTTTCGCTCTACCTGCCATTTTCCCCCTTTTTTTTTTTTTTTTTTTTTTGAAGCGTCTGTCAAATACAATAAAAATGCCTTTATTTTTCTTTAACTTATAAAAATGTATAAAATTTTTCTTTAAAAGAAAAATGCTTTTAATAATTATATAAAGCAAGAACTTTTGCTCTTAATTCTCTAATTCTAGTCAATCGTCAACACACAGCGATTCATTGAGAAGGAAAAAATATTGTCTTCGAATCTCTAAAACAATATCTTTTTTTTTTTTTTTTAACCCTAAAATTACTTAAATAATTTAATAATGCGATAAATATTATTAGGTAATGACAGTCTTGTAGATGTCAGCATTTAAAAATGTCAAAATCCATTTAAAACAGAAATATGCAAGCAAACAATCACTTTGTTGTCACGAGACTTTATTAATTTTATCTTTAACCTTAATTTTGGATTTACATTTTTTTTTTCCTTCGTATAGGAAAACAATGACCCTTTTTTTTTTATCCCCTTATTTAAATTTTTAATACTGCATAATACTTCTTTCCTCTTTGCTGTTTGAGTTGGCTGTCTTTTTTTATTACTCTTCTTAAATGGGTTGTGATATATATTGTGTCTATCAACACATAAGGAATATTTTTCCTCCCATGACTGAACAAATTCGTTCATTTCATTTGTTTGTCGTTCTTTTCTTTAACCCAAAAGAATTTGCTAGATTTTTCCTGATTTAAATCAAGTCTCTTACTCTTATTTCATATCCAGTGATTTACTTACAGTTCTTTTTCCTTCATTCTTACTTTCTTCGTCGATAAGCTTTTATTTCCTTAAAAAAATATCAGGGTTTAACTTTTTCCCAGCAGATCATTTTCGAAAAAAAAAAATTTGCAAATTGTCTTAAGTTTTGAATAAAGAATTTTTGCTTGATCAATATTTTCTAATAATTTTTTTTTTTTTTTTTTTTTTATCCTGGGTTTTAAGTTTTAAGTTTTTTCTTTAAAAAAAAAAAAAAATCAAATATAGCTCTTGTGTTACGAATAAAAAGCAAACACTAGTTTTACTACTTGCCAACTAAATCTGTATTGTATTCATTCAGTATTGGAATGTTTTTTTAGATACCCTGATTATTTCTGAAATGGTAAAAAATTACATACTAAACTGTACTGTTTAGTTGTGTTTGTGTTCCCACTTTTCAAGTTTTGGTCAGTTGATTCGGTCTTCTGCCAAAAATTACTTTTCTTTTGCCTAAAGAGATGCACTCTGAAAGAAACACACAGGGGTTATTGAGTCCTTTTTCCAAACATTGTCGCTTGGATTTTCTTTATCAGGAAAGTAAAACTCAAAAATCTTTGTCAACACTTTTTTTCTTTTCTTTACAATTTACAAATCATTTTAAATGTCTTTATTACTGTTTATGACCTGTAATTGCATTTTTTTTGTTATGTAATAAGCGACAAGCCCTAAAAAATTCAATCTGACTAGTACTCGCTTTTCTTTACTGATAAAGTAAAACGGAAACTGTAGCCTTTTAGTTTTTTTTTTTTTTTTTTTTTTTTTTTCTACTTAATTTACGTTTTGGGGGAAATGAGTCTTTTGTATATGAAGCCTAAATCGTGGTAATTTGTTTTGTTTTTTTTTGTTTTTTCTTCCGGTTAAATTATCTCTCTAAGGTAGTTGCAATGCCTTTGCTAATTGTTTGTTTTGTGTTTTGTTTTTTTGTAGACTTATCTATTTTAAATTTTCATTTCCAGTTATTGCGACTCTGGATTTAAAAAATGGTTGCTAGTTTGAAACCAATGAATTCTCAAACAAAATTAATGCACTTTTAACGACCGGTTATTTCTCTTTGATTGTAACAGGCGTGGCATTAAAATTGTCACTGTTATTTTTTTTTTAATCTCTATCTGATTTCTTTTGGTTTTAAATGTAATGACATTTAATATTGAACTCAGGGTATTTAACAAGGTTTTTTTTTTTTTTTGGGGGGGTTCATGTTTTGCTCTATATTAAATTTTTAGTGTCCACGCATTTCATTGACTCGCTTTTTAAAATTCAGTGTTAAAACAAATACTGCCTCTGATCAAATGATATCAACACCCTTTAACTCCCAACTCCTTCAACCTCAAAAGAAAAAAGGGTGGACTTTTAATTTTATTGATTAAAAGTAAAACTAATGACTTAACGAATTTTTGGCCGTGCATACTTTTTCGTGAAAAAGAATCGTCAAAATCTCTTAAAGAGGGAGACCAAAGCAAAGCCCCCCCTTTTCTTTCTTCATAATCTTAAATGTTTAAAAATCCCGTCACTTCTGGCGGCAACGCGGAATCTTAAATTTGAACGTCTTTTTGCAGTGAGAAACATTGATTAGGAAATTTTTGCAAAAACCAAATTGTCGGATTTTTCTGAAATTTCCAGGACTTTCAAAAATTAAAAATTATTTAACAAAAGGTTCTTTCCTCTTATTTTCTTACACCTGTTATCCTCACCATGACATTTTTAAGAAATCAATTTTTTTTTTTTTTTTTTTTTTTTTTTTCATCTCTTTCTTGATGAATGTTTATAAGGACAAGATCTCTAATTTGAAAATTGAATAAAATATTAGAATGCCTAAAATATTTTAAATTAAAATAACATTTAAATTTAATTTTTTAAACATAATGAATAATGAAGTAACATTCATAATGCCTATGCATTAATAACTCTCATAGTTAATGCTGTTCTTTAGGGCCAAATAACTCTTTGAAGGTAAAAATCGTGCTTATTGATTCACTATTGGCCTTTTTTCTTTACTTTTTTTTTTTTTTTTTTTTAATTCAGTGATCCTAAAACTTTAGGATCACTAGGAATTAAAAATGATTTATTTAATCCTACTTCATACAGTTTACTTTATTTTTCAGGGTACTTAAACCTCCAGGTGGTGGTGGCAGTAATATTTTTGGGCCTGCTGCACCATCATCATCTACCCAATCAAAGGTTAATCGTATGGAATCAAATGTTTTCAAAGAACCCGAGAGTGGTCCAACACCCAAAACTTCCAAAAAAGAAGATACACATAACAACTTATTTGGAGAAGAAAAAACTAAAGTCAAAAAAGACTTCAATCCAGCAACTTTGAAAGGACAAGGTATATTTATATACAAAATATATTTACCTTTTAAAAATATTTTAATTTTGTAACCACCTGGCAAGTTAAGATATGAGTTTAACTTTTTCTTCTCTAATATTTTTGAAGTTGTCCTGCCTCCATAATAGAAAATTTTCATAAGATATTTCTCATATATCTAAACTTTTGTTAGAATCTAAAGAACAAGTTTTGATTAGGTTAACTTGGATTTGAATAGTGAAACTTCAATAGCTTGGACCAAACTTGTAAAATTTTTTTATCAAAGTTTTTTGGAATTTATGAAAATTTTAAATTATCAACACATTCTTATTGTAAATGCTAGGGCAGTAAAACCAAGTTCTTTTTAATTGCCAGCAGATATAATGGAAAAAAATAACAAGATTTAACTTTTTTCTCTATTTGCTTTTTGTTTTACATCTAACTTATTTTTAAGGTTCCTGTACAAAGCCTACCAACACACTTCTCAGTGGTTATTTAAATTTTGAAAAGAATTTAAACACAAAAATGGATATTAATATTTAATATTAATTGAACAATATTTTAAAATGTCTTCACTTACAGTATAGATCAACTAGTAAAATTAACTAGAGGTCAATGTATCAATTATATATTAGGTTAATAAACTAGTTTAGAGTGAAATTTACTTGTTGGCCAAGAACTTTTTGCTTGAATTTAATTTCTAATATTGGTAATTTTTTCTTAATTCTCTTCCAAAGGCAATAGCATTCCATGTTTAGTTTTTAGTGAGTTTTATGTGCTTATGTATAATGAGTGAATCAGTATGTCCATAGCCTGATAATTACTAGCTGAATTTCAATCTGTTTGATTTATGCAAAAATGTTGGATTAAAAACATTGACAAAGATTTGCTGGAAAAATAAATATGCAAAATAAAGCTTTTCACCATGAAAGCTATGAACTTAGTGCAATACCTGTGTGTCTATAAAATTACTTGACTTTTCTAAAACTGTCATTTTGGGGATTTCTCTTCTAATGTCAGAACAAATTGGTTATTTTAAAAAATATTGCAAAATACTTTTTTTTCAGTCCATGCATGTTTAACATGGAGTGTCCTTGAAAAAACTACTCTTCCATCTGTTAATGAGAATGTGGTACCACCTTCTTCTCCTCTTCTTTGTCACTCATCAACAAATGATGGGTATCAACGAGCTTTTAGAAGACGAAGATATAAGTGGGCAGGTTGTGAGCTATTTTAATTCTATGCTGTTAACAACTCCAGGATAAACAGATGTAGTTTGTGTGTGATCTTTCCTCCAAAATGTAGATTTTAATAGTTCATGTATTTTAAAAAAAAAAAAAAATTATCATTGTGATATTATCTTTTGAGGTGGAAGATGTCTACATATAGAATGTAAATTATTTATAGGCAAATAATTCTATAATTCTTTCGTTTTCAAGGCTTTCATGTTCTCTAGTTAGAATTTCTTTTAATTGTATTTCTGTAAAATACAATCAAACTAAGTGAAATTTCAATGATCTAGGATTCATCTTGATTTGGGAATAAGACTACATAGTCTTATTGATGTCAATCCTAACTAGAACTTTATTTTTCTTGAAAAAAAATTTACGATACTAAATGTTAATCTTAATATATTATTTACAAGAAATAATTTACAAAAATACTTAGAAAATTTGATTCTTGCAGAGATTTATGAAAACTGAACTTTAGTCTCCATCTGTAATACTAGTAGTTGTGAGTGTATGCATTTTTCCTTTCAATTTGTACTTATTGTGCAAATGTTATTCCCTGGAGTTGTTAACCCAAACTGAATGTTGGCCTTTCCTACAAATGTTTCACACTCTCATCTAATGGAATTTTACCTTTGTATTTGCACAATCCTCTGATATTGTATCCTATAGTTATCCTGTTTTTGTCACAATTTAGGACTTTAACTGCATTGTAAGCTTCTAATGTAAGCTCACTTCAATGGGTCTAACAAGTTAATAATTTGACACTATAAAGAAATTGTACCTCTTTTTTTTTTTTTTTTTTTTTTTTTTTTTTTATATTAGTTGAACTGTGCCAACTTGGGTACAAGGCTATATTTGTGGTACATCAAAGGGGAATGAAGCTTGTCTATATCTTGAAAGACTATAATAAGCATTGCATAATATCTTTGATAGGAAAAATGCTGTTTCTGTTAATGTGTAGATTCTATGAGAAACTAATTTTAGTAAATTTTTTATGACTTGCTCCACAAGCAGTCAACACAGTTGTTAAAATAGCTTAGAATCAGTTTTATATTTTCAAAATCAAAATTGTAGATTAAAGAACTGAAGTTATATATATATATATATATATATATATATATATATATATATATATATATATATATATATTTATTTGCTGGCACATTAAAAGGAAACAGGAAGTGGCTCTTAGAGAATTTCCTTTCATAAATAACATTAACTTCATTAGATTTTTTTTCTTTCAATGGATGATATGTATTGGCATAAAAGGTTTGTCACTTAGCTGATTGATGTTACCTTAAGGACACCCTGGTGATCACTCCATCCACTATATAATTTCAGGAAAATCTGTTAAAAAAAGCTAAAGTTTTATCCTTTAGTACTTTATTAGACTAAAGTAATGTTGATGTGATTATACATGTGTATGAAGGACAGGGTAAGCTTCAATTTATAAAATGTTTGAGACCTTTAATGTGTAATCACATCAGTATGAATATCAATTTAGTCTAAAGTCCTAAAGGATGAAATGCATCACACTAAAAACTTTTGCTTTGCCATATTTTTTTTTCCTACAATTACTCCGATTATTAAAAAAAAAAAAGTTTTCTCGTGTCTGTATCCAGTAAAGCAAAGAATTGGAAATTCATGTCTTATTTAATTTGAGGTATTTGATATTTTCTCTTGTCAAACACTTGAGATTATACATTTCTTAGTTGAATTTATCCTCTTAATATCCAACCAGTATTGTTTGTGGCTTTTGATGTTGTGATAAAACTTTAACATTTTTGTCTGTTTGTGTTGTGTTTTTTGTTTTTAACTCAAATTTTTTTCTAATGGATTTGAACATTAAATTTAGTTAATGCCTTGTTTTAAGTCTGTTTTTTAAATTCCTAGTATATATATATATATATATATATATATATATTGTGTATTTACAGCCATGTGGGTAATTGAGTTGACATTGAAGTTTTTCTTTATTAATGAATCTGGATTTTAAATTTTTTTTTTCTCAAACAAAAAAACCTTATTAAGCAGTGTAGTTTTTGGCTATAGAGCAAAATTAAGCTTAAAAGGCTAAAATCAACTTACCCACCATTGGCTTTAAATAATTTTAGTGCCAATGCCTGTTTTTATTTTGCATGTTTTTTGTTTTGAATTTTGAAGCATGTTTTATGATGAAAGCTCTTTAAAACTACAAAATGTATAAAAAAAAAATAAATTTTATGAATTTTCATTACTTAGTTTTTTGTAATTTTTTTTTTTTTTTTCTCCCAGCATGATATTTTTTAATTTCAGTGTTAACAATTTTTAATACAAGTGATTACAATAGCTCAAGTGGGGTGGTATGAATGAAATGAAAGCAGTGCAACTGAGAAGGGCTTAATCTATACAAAAGCCATGTTTTCATGAGGGGATCCTAATCTTCTTAGCAACAATTGTTTAGTGAAATAATCCTAAGCTATCAAATTTTATTAATCTTTGCTTGTGGATGTGTGTATATATTCAAGTTTATTAGTACATTATATTATCAGGTGAAATAAACTTGGTGTGCATATGTCTTGTTTTTTTTTTTTGTTTTGTTTTTTTCTTACATATTTCATAGTATTCTTTAAAAAAAAAAAAAAAACTTTTAAAGGCTATTTAAACTAATACTTACAATATGCTTCTGTTCATGCAAAATTCTTAGTCAGGCATGGCACTTGAGTGTCTAAATCAATCTTAGACTTGAAAGGTATATTTGCAATTTTTATTTTTGATCCTTATTTTTCCTTTAGAATCCACTCACAATCCTATAACAGGTTCACCATATGGAACTAATCAAGATGCTAGTGATGAAAAAACTCAAACAAAAGGTAAAAATGTACACCAAGACTCGGTTTATTGAGTCCTGCAAATGTGGGAAGAGATTTTATTAGCCTCACTTTTCTATCACAATTTCTAATATATTGTAATATCAGATAAAATGAGTGACTTTCAATTTCCTCAGATTCTACATCACAATGAATCTATTCCCACCATTTCCTGATATCATGTGATAATCTTTCACCTGACAATATCAAAACATCTTAACCTTATCTGTTCTTTTTGTTTCACTGCTTGCTTTGTCTTTTTTTTTTTTTTTTTTTTTTTTTTTTTTTTTTTTTTCAACTCTAACATATTGGACTCTAAACTTAAATATCAGACTTTGCACTAATTTCATTGTATATAAATGTTTTAAGAAAAAAGCATGTGGGCAGATATCATTCAAGTGCAACTAATATGTATTTTGTTTTTATACAAGGCTCTTTTTCCTTTTTTATACACAATTTAGCTGAAACTCTTATACACAATTTTAATTTTTATCACCTTTCTAATAGCTTTTCTTTTTTTTTTTTTTTTTTTTTTTCAAATTGAATTTCTTTTCTCAAATCACAAAGGGAATTAGGATGGAGTTTGGTATAGATTTATTCTGAATATAGAAGTTTCTGCTTGTTTAATTAGGTACAATTACATGTTAATTATTGCTTATTAAAAGCTTAATTTTAATAGTATAAAATTAAAGGTATTTTTCATAAAGTTTTTATCTACTTAGTGTATAAATTTAACTTAGCTTTTTTTTTTTCTTTTTTTTTTTTTTAACTTAATTTCAACTTGGTTTATATGGAGAAATATATGCTAAACTCTTTAAAAAAAAATTTTATTACAAGGGTAGATGTTCATTATTTTTTTTTCTGTTTTAGGATACTTCCAAGATCCCATTGCAAACAAAGTAAGTATGTTTATAATTTAGATTCTTTATCTTGCATGTCTTGTTTGCTCTTGCATTCAAGAGTGACTGCTTTTATTTAAAACTTTTAGTACAACATTCAGAAATATGGAATATTCCATTGCTTGCAATGGTTCATATTTCTCATTCCAACTTTCGATATTTATAAATCTGGCACTTCCTCCCTGATAGGTAAAATTTATTTCCTTGTATACATGAGGTCACTTCAAGTGCCTTCTCCAAATCAAAGGATTCACATAAAAAGGTGAGAATCAAGAGAATAGGAAAATGCTAGCTATCAAAACTTGGAGAATTGAAATGAGTCCTTACTGAAATGTGGACATCAGTGAAACCAGACAATTGTTATAGATTAATCAATTTGTTAGAAAAGCAAATGGAAGTAAATGTAAAAAGTGCTACAACTGATACAATTCCTCAAAATTGTGTTAAGTCACAAATACTTTGTCATGATAGAAAAAACAAAAGTACTTTTGTCTTTTTGTTCATAGCCTTAATCAACTTTTGAAACTTTTACATTTAAAAGAAAATTTAGTCTGGAGAAATACTAGATTATTTTCCCTATATCAAATTAATATACTTTTATAAATAAATTGTGTTGCAAAGAGATTTGAGAAAAAGAATGGAAGTTAATTGTGAAAAATGGAATGTTTCATTTTTCTGATTCTTACTTGTTCTTAGCATCATGCTAATTTTTTAAATCTCTAGATTTAATTCAATTTTTTCTATTAAAAAAAAAAAAAAGTCCTATCTTTATATTTGTTGCTGACTTTTGTGTACATGTACACTTTTCTTTTTTCTTTTTCTCTTATTTATATTTATTTACAGGGAGTAGCAGCAGCAGCAGAAGCTAATGAAATTTCACATACCCGTATATCTCAACCTCCTGGTGGACACTGTCACAAGCTGTGGTGAAACAATTGTGAATCTTGGAATGATTTAAGTAGTTCTGTTAAATACAATACCCAGAATAAAAAAAAAAATAAAAACAAAACAGCTATGCTTTTCTCTTAAAAAAGAATGCAATCCATTGTTTTTCATTGCTTTTATTTCTTTCCTGCTCTTATTTCTGGTTACAAGAAAGGTAATAAAGAAAAGCATCTTGTATACTTATGTGATAAGGTGTATGTGGGTGCATGTTTCAAAAGTTTTAACTGAACATAAAATATTTGTAACAGTTGTTCTAAAATTATAATTTCTTATACAAATGTAATGTTAGTAACTTTGTTTTTATTAAATTTAGGTATTTTCTATAAATGTTCTTGAATATTTTTTCCTCCACCTTGAAGCATAAAAAAATAACTAGCTTGGAATAATGATTACTTTTATCTAATGTATCAATTTGGCAGCAAAATGTTAATATAAGAAATAATTTTCAGGCAACTTTTTTCTTACATATGTTACTGCTTAGTTAATGGCTTGCTCAGCTTTGGGAGAATTGCAGTTGTCTGATGTTCACAATTTCTCTATAATACCCCCCCCCCACACACACACACACACATGAAAATTTCTCAATTGTGATAGGACTTTTTGGATAGAAAGATGATTAGAAAATATTACTTGGTCATTGCCAACACATTTCATCCAGAAAGCTTCATTTATATTTGAATTTAATGTAACTAAAAACATTTCACTTCTAAACTTGCCTTGTAAAGTCGGATTGACAATGTGTCAGCATGACTAAGAAACATTTCTAATCATCTTTTTATCCACATATATATATATATCCACATACAGGACTGTTTTGCTGTGTCACAGCTCATCAGTGCGACTAGATATCCAATTGCTTCAAGAGATCAAAACCAAACAGATTTGGCATGTTTCTACCCCCCTCGAGCTATTGGTGCATGGCAGAGGGGAAAGGGAAATTCTAGTGTATTATTTTTATGAATATAAACAAATGCCAAAATAAAATCTCTATCACAAGTGCTTATAGTTTTTATAGGTGCAGCTGAATGATTCTATAGTGGGCAATTTTTGGGTAGTCAGTAAACTTGTGTACACTTAAATAATTTTCAGTTAATGTCTTTTTCTTTCGTTACTTATTTGTATTTTATTTTTACTTAAGTTTTCCCCAAAACTACTGTCGCACATTGCAGAAGACTATCTGCTTATGCATCCTAAATATCACATGGAATGTTCATCTTTATAAACTGTCAAACACCAACTCAAATCTTGTAAACTATTAAGCATTGATATTTCTTTTCAGAAAAGCAAAATATTTAGACTTGTATGTTGTATTAACTTTAGTGCCTTTCATAAAATTTAAATTATTTCATAACTGCTTCAAAGAAAGCTTTAATGAAATATTCTTGATAGTGATAGGTTCACTTGTTACATTTGTAAATTTTAAGTATTGATAAATGACTTGTGAAAAATTTTTTTTTAAATTAAGGAAAACTAGCATATGCTTTACTATAATAAACAAGTGTTTTTTTTTGTTGTTTTTTTTAAGCCTATAATTGAACATATTTTAGAAATTTGATACTTCATACATATACCTTGGGGAAAACTAAATCTCTTTAAGAGTTTTATAAAAAAAATTATATCCATAAAATGTTGCAATTTTGTGGAGTTTATGAATTTGGACAAATAATCTGGTTTCTGCCATTCTCTTGATATCTGTACAAAATGTCTTCATATTTTAGATGTGTAGATTGTGTGATAGATATTACTCCTTTTATAAAGCAACATTGACCCTTTTTTTTTTTTTTTTTTAGCTATAGCATCTTTGGGATATTTTAATAGCAGTTAGTTACATTAATATAGGGGGCAGTGAGAACTTAAATACTCAGAACAGGCTTTATAAAAGTTCTTTATGGAGAGGAAAAATGTTTGCATACCAGAGAATTTGGTTGAATCTCTCTCTTATAACTGGATGACTAATTAGCATATTTATTTTGTAATTGGTTCTTTATCATCTCAACTTCAGCTATTGTTTACAAAATGACAATATTCTAAATACTTGCTCAATTTTGGTTGTTAAATATCAGGTAAATGTTTGCGGTTGTTTCATATGGAAACATGTCTCTTGAAACATCTTGCATACATGGAATTATTTCAAAGTGCAACAGTTGCAAAACATTTCTTAGTTCCCTCTTTTGGACTGGTTAATTAAGATCTTGTCTCTAGTAAAAGCAAAAAATTCTGTATTACTATAAATCATAAACAAGGGAAAAAAATGTTCTTTGCATAAGCATATATAAAACTTCATACATTTTTTTTTTTTTTTTTTTTTTTTTTTTTGTGCAAAAGCATGAACTTTTTTCTTTAGAACTTAGAAATTCTTCAGTTGATTTATCAATTGTACTGAATATAATTTCATTTTCTCTGCATTATAGAAAAGCACATGCTTTTACTTGTACTGGTTTCTACAGATGAACATAAAATTTGAAATAATGGCCTTATGTTTGTTTTGTTTTTTTTTTTTTTTTTTTTTTGTTTTTTTTTTCCCCTTAAAATGTATGAACCTCATTTATTTCAAATCTTGAATATTACTCAGGCCTCCTTGTACTGTTATGTTATGTTTCATGAAATATAAAGCTACTTTTTATTGAAAGTACTATTTGTATAAAAAAAAAAAATTTTAAATTATGAATGTTTTAAACACAAGTTGATGTAATTCCACTTGAAAAACTGTTAAGCTTAAGTGTATGCACACTTGTGTGTATGTGTCCTTTTTTTTTTTTCTTTTTTTTTTTTCTTCTTCTCGCCAAATCATTCCAGTCCTAGCTGTTAATTATCTTTCTTTGATGCATTTTAATAGATCTTTGGTGCTGCCAAAGTTGATTTCCCCCTGAAAATTGCATCTTACAGCAAATGTCTTCATACCTGATCAAATTTACAACTAATGATCAATATTTTTTTTCTTCACTATAATCTCTGGAACTGAGAGATAAGGTTTTATAAGTGTTATAGGAAGGAGTTTATAAAAACCAGGCCTGATAATTTTCATGTCTACAATATAGGCAGCAATATTATAAATGATGGCCTCTTGGTTGGACTTTATTAATTAAAATGTTGGTTCTTGAATAAGTAGAATTTCCTGTGAAATTAAGATGTCTGTGACAGTTTTATGAATGTCATCTAAAGTTAACCTAATGGCCAGCAATGCCCATTGTCATTGATGTTTTTATGGTACTTTTTATTTTTTTATTCTTCTAAATAAACATGCAAAATAATTCTGTGTTTGTTTTTTCTTGAACAGAAAAATAACTTAAACTTTGAATTTTTAAAGTCTTACAATTGTCTTGTTTTTTTTTTTTCTCTCTCTCTATATATATATATATATATATATTGGCAAATTTCACAAGTATACTTAGAATATTTTTTTAATATCTTTAAATAATTCTCTTGTATTTAATTGTATCTCATTAGTTGCACTTAGTGCAAAATGAACCCTTCCTTTTCGGAAGGAATATGTAGGGAGGCCATGATTATAAATTAATCCTGAAATAATCTACTTTTTTAAAGCTGAGCAGTTTAACTTTTATGAATAGTGAAGTTTCAAGTATTATTTTTTTTCCAGTCAGCTTTATTGCTATTGTGAACAATTATTGGTAGATTAACTCTGAAAAATTACTTTTTTTTTTTTTTTTTTTAAATAATACTAGTATTAATTGGGGCTATACCAATTGAAAATGTTCTAATTATTCCACTCTGCATAATTGCTACCTGGTTTTATAATGGTCAAGTGAGCAACATAAACTGGGATTATTTTTTTTTTTAATTTACAACTTTCATTTTAAATCTGAAATATTTTTTTTGTAATTTAAATTTTTTACATTCAGATAAAATTTAAATTCTCAATTTAAGCTGTTAAATGACTTGTCACACTGCTTAAGAGGATAATCTTTCTAGCAATTTTTTTTTTCTTTTCTTTAACCACTTTCACCAGTAATTTTGTATAGACTACTATTCAAGCTGCAGAAACTATTTTATGCTTGGGTGTTATATAATAAGGGACCTGTCAAAGTAGAATATTACCATCTTTTGTAAGGCTGGCACATGTTGAAATCCTCACAGTATTTAGTATGGACGTTTTTGCAAAATTTCTCCAAGGTTTACATATTACATTTTAACCCCCCAAAGCACTACTTCATGACTTGTGCACACTAGTAAAACTGACTGTACTTAGGTGTTTGCACTTCACCAAAAAATTAAGTGCCAATCAGTCACTGCAGGACTATTTCAGAGTGTGTGATAGACAGGTGAAAAGAAGTCACAGAATTTTATGGATAATATAAAATAACTTCATTTGTTTTACCTTGTTTCAGATACATATCATTTCTATTACACTTATTCAGTTAATGGGGGAAAAGCAAACTTGCAATTTATCGTTTAGAGATATACACACAAATATTGTGTATGTATATATATATATATATATAGTACATATGTATTGGATATATTATATATTTTTATATTATATATGTAATATATATTAGATATATTTGTAATATATTATATATCCCTCCCTAAACTTACTCTTTTTCGAAAGTAACTCATAATTGATACAATAGTTAGCAACTTGCTCCAATATTTGCCTAAAGATGAAACTGAACAAATGCTTTTAATTTAATTATATAATTCAATTTAAAGTTTTTACTTTCCATTTTTGAAACATGGTTTTTTCGCTACACAGTAATAACCATATTTTCAATCAGCTAATTTATAATATTTATGCTCTGTAAATTTACATTGAGCACTGTTTTATAAAAATATCAATAAGAACATATATATATATATATATATATATTTATTTATTTATTGTAGTTTGAAAACACTAAAATCGACCTTGCTAGCCGAAACCCTTCTGTGGTGAAATCAGGCTATATGATGTTTCCGTATAGGATACAGGTGCGGTTCCTGTCAGAGGACGCATGTTTTCTATTACAATTTCTCGGACATTCAGG